CAAGTGACTCGTTCAAACTGGTAAATAATTCAATTTTCATTTTTTAAAAATCCGAATTAACCTTGTACAAAAAATTTTTTTCGTCATAGGTCCGCAAAGATTTTGGGAAGCATCTCAAAAATTTTTGAAGTACGTGGCTAGCGCCGCTTCTAAGTTCTTGGATTAAGCATGCTGATGTTCGTAGACCCATCACTGACATGCCACTCTCCATTTACGAAAAGAAGCCTTTGAACTGCTCCGAAGATCACATTCGCACAAAGGGAAAATACACCATTCGCGGCACTTTCGTTGAAACTAATTCGAAGAAAGAAAAACTATACAAAAAGGTACTGACCAGCCGCAGCCTTGACAGCACTGTTTACACCGCTTTTCACAGAGTTCAGAGCATCTGCTAAGCTCTCTACAAAACTGCTACATTGCTTCGGCCTCACTTTCGAGTCGTCGCTTTTTCCTTCATCCTCTTGCTTCCCTCCAGTTTCAAAGTTACTTCCCCATAATTGTTACAAAAGAAAGAGACTGACCAGCTCCAGCCTTGACAGCACTACTGACACCGCTTGTCACGGAGTTCAGAGCACTTGTTAGGCTCTCGACGAAACGACTGTACGCATCGTGCTTCGGCTTGGATTTCGATTCATCGCTTTTCCCTGCGTCGTCGTCTTGCTGACTTCCACCAGGCTTTCTGTTACGAGTGGATTCATCATCGGACATCCTAAAGTTGTTGTTATTATCACATCAAAATAAAGGACACGATGGCAGGAGATGAAGTTGACGAGTGCAGAACTATACAGGGTGTCCCAAAAAATGTATCGAACGTTTGATCTTTAAATGGAAAACTTTCGCGGATCGTTGAGTGCCCTACGGTAGGGTTAGCGTCAACTCAAAGTTACAGTGAAGAGCAGATCACTGATTTCTTTCAGATACTGTAGGGTTACGGTAGGAAATCTCGACTCATTTTAGGCTTTGGCAACCGAGAACTGCTTCAAAAATTCCATGACCGAAGGACGTCGAACGAAAGTTTTCGCGGATGCTAAATAATCACAAAGTTTCAAACGTACTCATACTCATCGGCTTCTCACGGTGTGGGCACTGTAATTTGAATTTTTGGCTTTTTTTCCAAAAGTTACTAAATGAACGTTGTCAAACAAAGTTCAGTAGACTAAAGACTTTTTCATTCTTTACCGACTGCAAATAATTAGCAAAAAATTAAAAGATCGGGTTTCAAACACAACTAATAATTCGATTTCGTTTGATTGATTTGGCCGATTGATTTCGACGTTGTAAAAGCAACGTCGATTTAGTGAAGTTGGAAAGTCTAAAATCCCGTGTTCCACTGCGCTTACCATAGGAAGCCGTTTGGAACTTTTTTAAAGCAATTCTCGTCTGAC